TTTACAATAACTGTAAAAGAAGAGAAGTAGTGAGGTAACCACGATGTGGGTCCGAAGCTGCTCAGCTGACAGGAAGCCCACTCCAAGCTCCTTCTCCTGATTTCTCTGCTGTTTGAGGGACGTTTTGAGGAAAAGCTTGCTCTAATGTCATCTTTTTCTTTTTGAATGACACTTCTCCCTCCTCACTTCCCCTCCTCCTCTTCCTCTTGGACACGTAGCTTACAAATCACAAGCTCTCTTGGTCTCTGGCCTCCAGAAAGCGTGACCGCCAGGTAAAGCTGCAGGAAGCCGTGCCTGATCAGCCTCACACTCTCTCTCTCTCTCTCTGTGTGTGTGTGTGTGTGTGTGTGTGTTTGTGCTTCCTCTTCATCTCTTCATGCACTCATCTTCCTCTTCCTCTGCAGGTGCACTTCTTCTCCATTGTGCTTGCCGTGGCTTTAAATCATCTCTGGCTTTCCTGTGATTTCAGTGAGGGATGGATGTGAGTGCTTGAGAGCAGGAAGGGCTTCAAAGGCTTTATGAAATGCACGATAGTGACAGTCTGAAGTCCCAGGATCCTACAACATTGCAACGTACAATATAATTAAGATATCAAAATAATAATTGTGCCGGAAAAAATATTAAAAAAAATAGCAAATAAGAAATAAATATTTTATAAAATACAAATAAAATTAGCGCAAGAACTCAGAAAATGAATAAAATATATATTCAGTAAAAATAAAAGCAGTGCAAGGAAAAATGTATATACACTAAAAATATCAATATTGCAAGAAAAAATACAAAGAAAAAAGCTGAAATATAAATGGTGCTAGAAGAAAAAGACTTATAATAAAAATCACATTAAATAAAGTCAAAATGAAATAGAGCCGGAGAGAGGAGCAAACGACACAATGCACAAGTAAATGTAAAAATAAATCAACTATATTCATGTCCAAAATGAATAAAATAACATCAAATTAAATACTGTACAGTAAATCCACGCTTTTCAATTATTCAACATATTTTTCCCTTTTTATTATTGATTATTTATTTTTAAGAGGATCTGTACCAAACAAGGCATTTTTATGAAGTCCGTGAAATACCAGATCTTTTTACATATTTAGCGTTAATAAATATTGCGATGTGAATATTGCACTAGTCCATATTGCAATTTTAATTTTAAAAAAACGTGTTATTTGTTCTCTCTGCATTATTTCGGACAGATTTTCAGATGTTTATCCTCCTTAAACCCCTTATGCTGTCTTTCAGTAAAGTGTAGTAGTGTGTCAGATGGATATATAAAACACACACACACACACACACACACACACACACACACACACACACACACACACACACACACACACACACACACACACACACACACACACACACACACACACACAGCCTTCAATCCATGTCTGAGGTGGCATTTAAATAATGAGCTTAGTGTGTGTGCAGCCTGAAGGTCACTGTTCCTGCTGATCAACACTATACTGTTTCTCTCAGAAAGTCAATAGATTCTGGGAGGGTTTAACACAAAAAACACTGTTGGGTAAGTTAGGGGAGTGTGTGAACAGGCATAAAACAGTTTGTATCGAGTAGAAAGATAGCAGATCAAATAAAGAAGTACTTTTCTTGATCCCAATGTGGAAACTGTTTGAGTTGCAAGCAGCATCAAAACACAAGCGTTGCCAACATTAGAGAAATTAAAAGCTAGAAATCACAATCCCAAAATGTAAACGTCTCAAATAGAAATACATAGCGTTTAAAAATATACATGTGGAAGACAAATGTACAGTAAAACAAGATAAAAGCAGGATATTATAAACATGAATTGTTAAAGAATGGATTATTTAATATTTAGATTGAAATGTTACAGTGTTGAGTTGAAGTATATTCAGAGGAAGCAGAGTTCTCTTCCAGCCAGAGAGGAGACTTTCTTGATTCAAATTAATAGATATCACGTTTTATCAACCGTGAACAGATGAAACACCCAGGGTACTGGCTCAGCTGTTTGCAAATGTCTCTCCATGTTTTCCATTGCACTCCTCTTCTCTCTCATCTTTATTTAATTTCTTCACCACCCCGAACGTATTCCACTTGGATTGAAACACTGGCTGTTTATGGGCTGATAAATCTTCCACTCTTGCTTGCTCCTCTTTTTTTTGGACGAGTATCAGTTGTTTGCCATCAGTATGAAGTTGTGTGTGTGTGTGTGTGTGTTGTGTGTGTGTGTGTGTGTGTGTGTGTTGTGTGTGGTGTGTGTGTTGTGTGTGTGTGTCTTGTGGGGTGTGTGTTGTGTGTGTGTGTGTACAAAACGTTTACCTCACCTATCATCGGAATTATTCCTTATCTCTCATTCTCTCATGTTTTCTGACCCAGCTTTCAGACCATCACACACACACACACACACACACACAACACACACACACACACACACACACACACACACACACATACATACCGTGACACATCAGCTGTTGAAATATTATTTGAGCAGCAGGCAGCTGACCTCACA